CCTCCCCCCCCAGGCCTGCCGGCGCCCCTCACTCCCGACCTGCAGCCCCCTGCCCCCCAGTGCTGCTGCTGATGCAGCTCCTTCATGTACCCTAAAGCAGCTTGCTGGGGCCTGGGTGCAGAGCACGTGACCCCTGGCAGCCAATCACCTTGTCCGCTACTCCCAGTGCCAAGCCTCCAAGCTGCTAGTGTCTGGGAAAAGTGGAGGCCCAGCAAAAACCTGGACATACGCTTGCATTGTAAAAATCCGCCCAATCGCAAGGACAAGGGACCAAAAAAGAGGACGTGTCCAGGAAAACCGGGATGTATGGTAATCCTAATTGGGACTCCTGTATAGTTGGGAGAGATGTTAGACAAAGTTTTGGGCACAATGTGCACAATTCCAATAAAATGTATCTTCCCCCCTCCCTCAAGAATCCTTCCTTGCATTATTTCCAGAAATACAGTTAGTTAGAAACTGCTAATTATTGCCAAGTATGCAGTTTTGTATGAATGTTCACATACAGGGTACAGCTGCACTGTGCTGTCAAGTGCATTTCTGTGAACACCATGCTTTTTTCTGAAGGCCAGGGATGCCTGCCTGAAATTATTTTCTTCTGAGGTATTTTGTGAAAGCTTCCAATGACACTGAGAAAAATCTTATAGCCAGGGCTCAGTCTTATCTGCATTTCCTTTAAACCCTAATGTATTGTGATTTTTGCCCTGATCTCCAGTATTGAAACATACTATAGAACTCACCAATCAATTGTGGTCTGTATGTCAACTACTCCAAAAGCAGAAAGGAGGATTTATGTCTTTTCTTTGAAGTTCCTCAGAGTCTCTGGGCATATCTACATGTGCAATTAATACTATTTGGATTTACTGTGCAGGCATTTACTACCTGTACATGTACAGGGTTTACTACGCATATGCAGGTAGTAAATTTACTGCACAGTAGACTAATTGACTGTGCAGTAAGCACCTGCACATGTAGATGGTGACACTTTACTGCGCAGTAGATTGGAAACCTTGCTGGCTAAAAGATTCTGATCTGGAGCATGTGAGACACACAGCTTAGAACAACAGTTATTTTAAAATAAATAACCATTCTTTTTACTTGGCTTCAGAAAATTGTTCATTGCTTTTGTAGATCGAATTTGAACATTTTCCATCTTAAATGAATTATCAAACAAGTTTCCTAGCATGATACCACCTCTGTAGAGGAGAAATGTAATTTCATGTAATGTCACATGAACAGTAAAATTCTCATTTTTCTTCCAGGTTACAAATAAAAAACCAATAACTGTACTTGAAATACTTCAAAAAATCCGTCTACATGTTTCAGTGCCACAATGTGATGTGTTTGGATACTTAAGTATAGAATCTGAAATTGTGATACTTATCATCCCAGTTGACCAAAACCCCAAACCATTGCAGGTAGAATGTTATTAAATTTCTGTTTATAGCAGCAAGTGTTATAGAATCGTAGATGTTATGTTTCAGCTCTATACTATGAACATTTCTTTATTAATTTAACCTTTTAAAACTAGTATAATGAAATGTGGTAAGAACAAAACAGCTGGGTGGTAATGTTGTGCACTACATGATGGATATGCTGGGACTACTTTGGTGGTTGGTAGGGCTGTGTGTAGCTTCGGGTGCAGATTCGATTCAGAGGAGATTTGGCCTGATTCGGCAGCCGAATCTCTGAATCAAATCGGGAGACCAATAAAAAGGTCTGAATCAATTTGAAGCTCTCCGAATCAGTCCAAAAAGATTCGGAGAGCTTTGGGGAGATTTGGGCAGTCCCCGCTTGCCACCACAGGGAGCTGGACCCAGACTCTATGCCAGTAAGTAGAGGGGAGATGGGGACCATGGGGGGACCCCCGCCAGGCTCCATTCCCTGCCTGCTCCCCCAGCCCTCCTGAGCACCCCCTGGCTCCTGCCCACTCTGCCAGCCCTGTCAATAGCTCCCCTACCCAGCCCCAGCATCCTGACTTTAAAAAAAAAAAAAAAAGAGAGACCTGTATTCGCTGGCTCCTGCCAGGTGGGGGGCAGTCCCTGCTGCCTCCCACTGCCCTGAGCTGCATGAGAGGCTCTGCCACAAGCCCTCAGCCCCATCAATGGCTGCCCCACCAGGTCCCAGTGTCCTGGCTCTTTAAAAAAAAAAAAAAAAAAAAGCCCTGCACTCACTAGCTGCTACAGTGGCCATGGGGGCTTCTGGGGGCTCATGGTAGAGCCCCCCACATGGTTTGGGGCAGTGGGGGGGAGCAAGAATCGCTCCCCGGCCTGGCAGGAGCTGGTGAATGTGGGGCATTTATTTATTTTGTTTAAGAGCTGGGACTCTGGGGCTGGGAGGGGCAGCCATTGACAGGGCTGAGGGCTTGTGGGGCAGCCATGGTGTGGAGGGGCTGGGAGGTGGATGGGACCTATTTAATTCAGCCAATTCGGTGGTGGCTGAATCTCTGAATCAGATTCTGCTGAATTGATTTGGGACAGTGATTAGAATCACTGAATCAAATCGCTGTCCCCCGAATCGGCCGAATCTGAATTCAGTGCAAATACTAGCCGCTTCACACAGACCTAGTGGTTGGATCTAACAGTTTCAGCCCAAACAGAAGAGAAAGTGGGTGCATTTGACATGCCTATTGTTTTTGTAAGAGGCTTTGAATGAAAGGTGGCTGTCAGTGCAGGATCAGGATGCAAAAGCAAAGAAAACGCTACAAATTATGTACCTTTTCATTAAAGTCAGATATTTTTAAATTTAAAAATACAAAAAAATAATTCCAAATGTTATGAACTACCTACTATGAGATGTTTCTCACAACAGGAAAATAAAATGAATAAAGAACAGATCTTTATTAACTTTAGAATGAAAAATAATCCAGAAGGTTACCAGCTATATTCATTTCCCTTTCCCCCCACCTGTCTCTCACCCAGTGACCACCTCAATTTACATTCTAACTGACTGGCTTTCTTGCATACATACTGGCCTCTGGCTGCTTTACTACTCCATCCAGGAAGAGCACAGACCATCTGCAGGCACTTCCTCTGCCTGACGAAGGGTAATTGCAAGCCTTTGGGTACAAAGAAGAATTTTTCCAAATATTTGAGTGGGTCTAATAAAAATTTTGGGTTTACTGCCCCCAAAAATATTCCAGAAGATGCTTCACAGTGATTGTCACGCACTTAATAAATGAGTTTTTAAATCTGAATTTATAGTATTGGGCCATTAGTCAGATGCTGAAATATTTGCCAGCGGGTAAAATTTTATTTGGCTTTGGTCATCTAAGTGGCAGTTTTCACATCTGCGTGTGGGTAGCAACTCTGCATCCTGGCAGTGTGGACATGTGAATAGTGTGTGCACCCACTGTGTCATGGGTGTCAAGCGTACAGCCTGTAGACTGGATGTGGCTTGTAGAGCCCTATGATCCAGTTCATGAGTCTCAAACCAACTCTGCATACTGTGTGGCATACAGAGCTGGTCTGGCACAGGGGCCTGGACCCAGTGCTGCGAATGTGGCACAGGAGGTTGGTCTGGGGAATGTGTTACATGCAGCACCTGTACTAGATTGGCCCTGTGCATTGGCTCTGGGGCAGGTTTGGTCTGGGTAAAGCTGCACCAGAGCCAGAGTGCAGAGCCAGTCCAGCCAGACGCTACATGCAGTGTGCACTGTGCTGGCTCATTGTGTCTCATGCAGCCATGTGTCCAGCTCCATGTGCAGCAAACGCTGGCTCCACTCTGGGGCTCATTCTGCATGGGGCTGGCAGAGCTAGACCAGCTGTGCACACTGCATACAGCTTGGGAAGCTGGCACAGGATATGCTGGACTGGACCTGTGTACTGGCCAGTGACCCTGCCCAGTGACCCTCATCCAGCCCCATGGGGCTGGATGAATTTTTGTGCCGGCACTATAGACATAGATGGAGCACTCAAACCCAAAAAAACCAAAAAAAACCCTCCCTGACTGGCCTGGCGTATACATGACTATGTATGCTCACTCCTTATGTAGGCATATTATTGTCCACCAGCCAAAATCATGGCCAACTGGTATTAGATGGAGGAGGAGGGGACCCTCTGTTTTAGTCCCAGTAGCTGAGTGGTTAGAGTACCTACCTGGAAAACTGGAGACCCAAATTTTAGAGCCTTCCCGTTGACCAGAGGTGGCTTGAAACTGCAGTTTCTTGACCTCCTAACACAATACTCTGACCACTCCATAGGTCAGGCAATATGTAGGAAGTTCTTCAATGTACCTTTTCTCCAGCACTGGCCTGTTGGGCAGCCTAGAGAGGGAAATGCATGGAGCCATGAGGATGAGAGCAACCAAGAGGTTATGTGGCTCAGTGAAATGGGAGCTCCTTGGAAAGGGAGTGAGACCCAGATTTTTGTCTGGAGCCTTGCTTCCAGTGAAGCAGAAACTTCTCTATGGTATTGCCCTTTTTCTGTTTTGTCTGGTAACTTAAAACCAATGAGCAGTAGCTTGGGAGGATTATTGCAAAGACCTGGCCTGTGGGGCATTTATAGACATGCTCTGGGAGCGGCTTTAATTAGACAGGCTCCGAGAGCCACTCTAATTAAAGCACCAAGAGCATCTTGAGTATCAGCATCTCCATGATGAAAAATGGCGGTGGGGGTGCTTTTAGTTAAAGCCCCC